TGAACTATAACAAAAGGGAAAAAGAAGGAATGAGTATGCAGAGGACAGAGAAGGGGAAGGAAACCAACTCTCACACTGCTAGGAACAAACCGAGGCATTTTGGCACTCATTCTATCATTTCAGCCTCACAAGCCTGGGAAGGAGGCATTATTTTTCACATTTTACAAGATAAGGATGTTGAGGCTCACAGAGGCTGTGAAATTTGGCCAAGGACAAATTGTAAATGGAAAATAGGGGATTTGAATAATCTCTCTGAGTCCTGAGCCTCTTGCCATAACAATTTGATGTTTTGGCCACAGAGGACACTTTTAGAAAAGGCATGAAAAAGAGAGACTCCATCCTGCTATTTCTGCTACAGATTTCAAATTGTCTGTGTCTCCCCAGCAATAACACATAGATGATGGTCACTGGGATAAAACCACTGCCCAAACATGCTGTAGAAAGCCAAGACATAGCATTTCAATCCTTTGGCCACAAAGATTAGAGCATAGGAATATAATATCCAGGAACACATAGGACTAAGATGAATGAAGATAGCCATGGAGCTATGTTATGCTAAAGTCCATCTAAATCAACTTCCCAGGCTTGAAACTCTAAAAATCCCTTTTCCTTAGCATTTGAGAGATGCAGTCTCTAATCTGGCCAGACCTCTGGCCCAGCTTCAGGGTCCTTCCTCCTGCATAAAGGCCAAAAGCTGGAGCTCTACTGGGCTGGGAGTTACAAAACTGGGAACTGACAGGCCTTTGTCCTCTAGCTGCCTCTCACATACTTGGGACCATCCTTCTCCTTTCTTATGTTACCTCCCTTTCAATTCCATCTTCTGACTCTATGTGGACATAACCCCGATAAAGCTTTCAAAAACAGAAACAAGGCAGCTTTGCCTTTGGGTCCCATGGTAGGTACCCAGTTTACCTTTGAGAGAGCAAAGCAATATCTGCATAGCTGTCTAAGTCTGGTACAGGAGATACTTGATCAAGAGTGGATGGGAAGGAGGGATCTCCTAGGGATTCAAAACTGTTCACTGGTAATGCTATCAGAAAGCATTTTTGCCTGTCCCAACCTCCTCCTTCCCATATCGTTCCACTAAATGGCCTGAAAGGTGAGGTACAGTTCTGTGGTCAAGAAACAAAGGGACTTGGACTAGGAACTGATCTTAAAGCACCCTCTACACTTTTCCAGCCCAGCACTAGCAGTCTCCTTGGTGATGGGGAGAGAGGGTCCCACAGAATCCACACCCATGGCAAAGAAAGGAGAGAGGCTGCTGGCACAGACACAGAGGATCTTGTGGAGGTGTCAGACCTTACCAGGGTGTGCCCCACTGCCAGCCACTTTTAGGGACTCTGAATTTAATATCAAAAAGCAGCTCTAGAACATCTGGCCAGAAAATACACAGCTCCTCCATGGTTCACTCACACAAGCCATATGTAGCTACCAGGACCAAGACAAGCCAGTTACCTTGGCTAGGACAGAGTTTACACCAAAGACCAAAGGACACATGCAGACACAGCGCTGCTGGCTGGAACAGGATCCTGTGCCTTCTGTTCCCACATTGTGGGAAGTATGGAAAGCTCCAAATTTCCAGGTGGGAGAGGCTAGGCTTTGTTTCAAGGAATTTAATGTCTGGTGCCTACCTCCTGTCTTTTCCATACTGCAGTTGAACACATATCTGCTGTTCTCTGAATTGAAAAAAAAGGAGTCTCAAGAACAAGACAAAGAATAATGCTTCAGATGCATCCTTAGAACCCCACAGAAGCCCCTGAAGATAAACTTTAGTCTTAATCTATTTAGGGAGATAAAAATTATAAGACATAAATGCCCGTCTGAGGACAGACATTTCCAAAGTAAAATAATGAGTAGGGAATGCACAGAAAATAAAAATAATTGGGCAAATCAAACTGAGAGTCATTTTGCCCAACAATTAGCCAAAACACTTAAAAAATTTCAGTGTCATGAAAGACAGCTGAAGAGTATCCTAGATTAGAGGAACCAAAGAACATGATGACTAAATGCCATACTTGGTTCTGTACTTGCTCCTGGATTAAAAAAAGAAGAAGCTACAGTATTTTTTTTAGATTTTATTTATTTATTCATGAGAGACACAGAGAGAGAGAGGCAGAGACACAGGCAGAGGGAGAAGCAGGCCCCATGCAGGGAGCCTGATGCGGAACTCGATCCTGGGTCTCCAGGATCATGCCCTTGGCCGAAGGCGGTGCTAAACTGCTGGGCCACGGGGGTTGCCCGGAGCTACAGTATTTTTTAAAAAGATTTTATTTATTTGAGAGAGAGAGAAAGTGAGAGAATGAGCAGGGGGTGGTGAGTAGAAGGAGAGGGAGAAGCAGGGAACCTGCTGAGCAGGGAGCCCGACATGGGGCTCAATCCCAAGACCACAGGATCATGACCTGAGTTGAAGGCAGATGCTTAACTGACTGAGCCACGAGAAGATGCCCCAAGAAGCTACATTATTATTAGGACACTATTAGCACAGTACTAGGACAAGTGGAGAAATCTGAATATAGAATGAATAATAGATAATACTGTGTTAGTGTCAAATTTCTTCCACGTGACATTTATAATGTAACTTTGTAGGAGAATGCCTTTATTATTATGGGAAATGCATTGAAATATTTAAAGGTAAAGTGTCATGGTGTCTGCACCTAACTCAGTAATGGTTCAGCACAAAAAACAAACAAACAAAAAACCTAAGACATACACATAAAAGAAAGAGAGAATTAAGCAAATATATTAAACATAAAGGTGAATGAATGTTCATTGCTTTTTGTTTCACAACTTTTCTGTTTCATTTCCAAATAAAATAAGGAGGGAGATGACAAGGAAATTGTTATAGATTAAAACATGCTTAAGAGACATAAATGTAATGTCTGTGCAGTGTCTTAATCTTAATTGGAACAAACCAGCTATAAAAAAGAATATTTTAAAGATAATCTGGACCATTGAAAATGGATTGGGTATTAGATAATGTTAAGGAATTGTTAATTCTGTTGGAGATAATGCTGCAGTATGGTTATAGGGGACAAAAAGCCTTTTTCTGTTGAAGAAAGTAAACCTTCATCTTTTACAAGTGAAATGATATGTTGTCTGGGATTTTCTCTAACATAATCCAGAAAAGGGAAAAAAAAAAATAGAGCTAAGTGAGATGAAAGAACCCTGACAGAATGTGGATAAGAGTCAAAGCTGGATAATATATATGTGGGTATTCTTTACATTAGTAGCATCTCCGCTTTGTGTCTCAAAATCTTCATAATAAGAAGTTATTTTTAAAAATTAAAATACATACAAAGGGGTGCTTGAAAATAAAATAATTCTAAAGGGACAAATCATCATTTATGTAGATTTGTAAATTGTAGCTTTTATGTCTTAGTTTTAAGAAATTGAAGGGTTACATGTACACACACGTGCACATACACATACTTTTTTTAAATACCCAAGACACTGTTGCCCACATTTCATGCCCAGAGGTGATACTGTGATAAGTAGTCACTTCCCATTTGTCAGTGGATTACTTAGCAGGTCAACAAAGACTTCCAAGTTCAATATTTTCTTAAATCTACTTTATGTCAGAATCTCTCTCTCTCTCTCATTCCCAAATCTTCTATCTCACCCACTCCTCTAAAAACAAAATATATAGGGCAGCCCAGGTGGCTCAGCGGTTTAGCTCCTCCTTCAGTCCAGGTCGAGATCCTGGAGACCTGGGATCAAATCCCACATTGGGCTCCCTACATGGAGACTGCTTCTCCCTCTGCCTGTATCTCTGCCTCTCTCTGTGTGTGTCTCTCATGAATAAATAAATAAAATCTTAAAAAAAAAAAAAAAAATATATATATATATATATATATATATATATATATATATATATATATATCAGTCCTCAGAGAGTTCCAGCAAAGATATTTTTCACTCCTGCTTAGTTTGGCAAGATTGTAGCACAGAGCCTAAGTGAGACAGGCTCACAGTGAGTGTGTAGTTGGGCTAAGATTAGGACCTTGGACCTTAGACCTCTGCTCTAACCATTAGTCAACATGTCCTCTCTTGACCATCCATAATTAAGGTGGCTCTAGTCTCTATAGTAACCAATCTGCCTAAAATAGGAATTATGTGAGGAACAAAACATTTGAAGCCAATTGGATCCATTCATACTCAAACAATGTCGATTTAAGGGCTGTTACCCAAGTTTGTTGGCTTTTTGAATATTCTCCCACCATGGGCTCAACGAAAGGAAGTGGAGGGGGCTCCATATCATCCATTCCATAAAGAAACTCACATGCTGTTATCCCTTTTCCTTCTTCAAACATTTCTTTATGTCCTCAAGTCATAAGCCCTTAAAACAAACTTTTCGTCAAGGCAGTTTTATGACCACAAGACTGAAACAAAAGTGGAAGTCTGAGAATCCTTTATAGGCAAAGAAAGCTTCCCAAAGAAGAAATGGGACTGAGTCCAAATCCCTCACAGAAACCTGGCAACTTCATGCATTATTTTCCGTTTATAAGGTGGGGCTTTGAACACTTCTCCTACTGAATCAATTCCCCTGGGTGTCTTTAGGAAGGAAGTGAAACAGTGTTTGGTGCCAGAGCTAACGGGGCACTAAACTTGAGAGCAAAAGGGTCCAGCCCCTCACGGTGACCACCTGCCTCATAGGATCTGTGAGAATTCATTGGGGATGCCCAGGAAGTATATTGGCATGTGTTCCATATAACTAACATTATTTAGTCATCATTATTATTTTTACTTCTGTACATTAGGCATAACTTCTGGCTTCCACGCTAGAAAATATCTATCCACCCTGTCCCTATTTTTTTCATGCCTCATTTTGGAACAGTTTTTGACTTCTGAAACACCGCTAAGTACAAGGAGCCCTATGATCTGTACTAATCAAGTCGCCCAAAGGTGGTGGTGGTGGTAGTTGTTGTTTTTAATTTTCCCAAGTGGGAAAAGACAAGCAGTGACATTTCTTTTTTGACCTTTCTTTTTCTTCTTTATTCAAGAAACATTTATTGAATAGGAGCTTGGTGCCAGGCCTGGAGTCTAGCTTCTCACTTAGATACAAATGCCTCAAAGGAGCTCACGGGGCAGAATAAGGAAAGAAACTTGTACACAGTTGAATTACAGCACAGCTAGGCTTTCCAGACTCAGCAAACAAACATCAAGATGCAGAGTTCAATTTGAAATTCAGTAAGTAACAATTGTTATGGAATATTGTATGGGACCTATGAATTCTTCATTATTTATCTGAAAGTCAAATGTAACTGGGCGTCCTGTCTTGTATTTGATAGCTCCAGCATCCACAACACAATAGCTGCTGTCAATGAATGTAAGCAGGAAGGGCTGTGGAAGCCCAAAGGCCTGAACAAACATCTAAACCGTTTATAGAGGAGGTGACATAAAGGAGACCTTCAAATAAGGAAAAACATTCGCCAGGTAACAAAACCAGGGAGGATCTGCATCTACCAGTGGCTTAAAGAATAAGTCAGGTCAAATGCATGGGAAATTGTGAAAAGTTTATGAAAGCTGGACCACAGGGGTCCATGTGGGTAGTGGCTTGAGGTCTTCTAGGTAGGTTGGATATTACACAATAAGCTGTATGGGTCCTCAGAAGGTTTTATGCTGGGGAGTGACAAGGTCAGACTTGTTTTTAGGGTAAGAAAGGATGAACCATAGGGAGAGAAAAAGCTTAAAATGAGTCGTTGGACGGCTGTTAAAGTCGTTCAAGGAGAGTTCCCGATAAGGACTGAAACTAAGCCAGTGCCTCTGCAGATAACAGAAGAAGGCAAATTGGAGAGATGATTAATCAGTTAGGCTTGTCAGAATCTGTTGATGGGCAAGGCAGTTGGGCATGACACGCATGCCTCTGTGGTGTCTAGGTTGGGAGGTGGGGAGAATAGCGATGCTGTATTTGGCTGCGAATAGTGTGATGTATATATATTTAAGTTTAGCAATTTAGCAGCATCTGGTTAACATTCAAGTAACTAATGAGCATTATACCCTTTAGAGGTAGTTAAAACATTTGAGGACCCCAGCTGGGAATCAATACCTTTCAGAACTATTACTTAGCAGTTCATATAATTGGTCTTAATCTACCCCAGTGGGTTTCTTACTTAGCATTAAAAGATAGCGGATCAGTTAGGAGTAAGAGTCTGACATCCCAGTGTCACATCTCAAATCAAAAAGATTTAAGATGCATCTTTTAACTTCATAAAGAGCATGACCCTCTTACAAGGCTGGCCCATTCTGCCTTTGAAATATCTCTGCATTTGTTTTTCAGACTTGTGAATTAAATAGTAATGTATCTCCCAGAATTGGTTCAAGACTCACTATCATTTTAACATACCATACTCTGGTAGTGGGGTTGTCAGTAAGGGATTATATACTTCTCCCTATACTTGTGTCTTACACTGGATGCTATAATAACATGAATGTATATCAAAAGAACATTAGATAATTTGCTGATGATCAAACTGGTTTATGTCTGTTCAAAATAGGTGCCATTGGAAATTGACTATAAGTGAGGATATTTCCTTAAAAATCATGGATCTCAACTTACATCCCAGCCTGTAGGTTTTAGATCCATCCAGAATATGCTGTTAATGCCTTGTGTTAATGCCCCATCCCACCCTCATTGAGTCAGATTTAATCGATGGAGTTCAGCTGAAGAAACATGATTATACATGATTACTTTCTTAAAAGTCTGGAAAGACTTAAAAAATAAAATAAAATGTACTCAGGCATCCCATCACAAATGTGGGCTCCAAATAGAAGATTTTATTGTAAACCTTCCAGACGTTCAGACTCCACTGTTATTTTTGAAAAGACATTCCAATAACAGATGCCCCTTCAGTTGGGGCATGGTTTGATACAAAGCAGCAGGCATTATTTAAAAGAAAAAAATAGGTCTCTTGAGACACATCAAAACAAATTAGCTGTTATGCTAAAATTATTTCCTGTTGGGTTTAATAAAGTTAACAAGATAAGTAAAATGAAAAACAGCATTAGGAAGCAGGGAATAATTTCCTCCCAAGCATGAAGCTCTTGCAGACATTGATAACAATAGATAAGAAATTTAATTTGTCTATTTTTATTTACCACAATGCCCTCATTCCATTTCTGTTTTTCAAAATTTCCTTCAAGATTTCTTTGGAGATGAAGTTATTTATGTGATTCTATGCCTCTATTTTGAAACTCAGAAACCCGTGATTCAAGCTGGTTTTCATGTTCTGTTTCCACATTTAATGTAGTACCTCCAATGAATTGATAGACAGTAATTGAGGAAAACGCTAAAGCTGTTATTTAAATGGTCTTTGGACACTATGAGTTCCTTCCATTTAACCAAGTTTCCTTGGTCCCAACTAGCATACATAATTAAGATTTGACAGCAAGCAACAGAGACATAGTGCCTTCCCCCAGTAATGATGTAAAAATAGGCTTCTCCAAAGACAGTTTTCTTACTGTTTCTATTACTCCCTTAGCTTATTTATAAAGAGCCTTAAGATTCATGAAGACACACAAGTCTTAAAGTTATCAGACTGGTTCCTAGTTCCAACTCTTTCAAGTATTATTTAATCACTTTTACCTTTCTGGTCCTTAGTTTCACCATCTGAAAAATAAAGAGGTGGAATTCTTGATAATAATTACCATTCACTGAGCATTTAATAAGTGCTAAGTCCTTGACTAAGAACATTACACCCATCATTTAAGTGATGCTAACAATAACTTTTAAAGGTAACCAAGGCAAAGAGGAGTTAAGTAACTCCCCAAAGGTCACTCAGCAAGCAAAAGACTAAGCCAGTATTCAAATACAGATCCATTCCAGTCCAAAGACCATACCTGCTCTTAGCCACAGTGCCTCCCACTATGAGATTGCACCTCTGGATCCTTTCCCAGTCAAATGCCCAAGGTCCTATGATTCTTTTAGAGTAACTGTTACTTAAAAGAAGAGAAAATTCATTTAGCAGGAGAGAGTCTAGTGGTCCAGTGGACAGAAATACAGAACACGATGGCATAAAAAGGAAAATTCTGTGTTCTGTTTTGTTTGGTTTTTCAAATATTTATTTAAATTCTAGTTAGTTAACACTCAGTGTAATATTGGTTTTAGGAGTCAAATTTAGCCTCGAGTTTGATGAGTTCTTTTTAGATTCCACATACCAACCCTTTATCAGATATGTCATTTGCAAATATCCTCTTTCATTCCATGTGCTGCCTTTTAGTTTTGTTCATAACTTACATATAACCAATGCTCAACACGAGTACCCTCCTTAATACCCATCACCCATTTAGCCCACCCCCTGCCCACCTCCCTCCCCCTCCATCAGCCCTCAGTTTGTTTCCAATAGCTAAGAGTCTCTTATGATTTGCGTCCCTCTCTTTTTTTCTTCCCCTGTGTTTATCTGTTTTTTTTTTTTTTATTTAAGATTTTATTTATTTATTCGTGAAAGACACAGGCAGAGGGAGAAGCAGGCTCCATGCAGGGAGCCTGATGTGGGATTCAGTCCTGGAACTCCAGGATCATGCCCTGAGCTGAAGGCACACGCTTAAACGCTGAGCCATCCAAGTGGCCCTATCTGTTTTGTTTCCAAAATTCCACATATGAGTGAAATCATGTGGTATTTCTCTTTTTTTGACTGACTTGTTTCACTTAGCATAATACTCTCTAGCTCCATCCATATCATTGCAAATGGCAAGATTTCATTCTTTTTGATGGCTGAGTAGTATTCTTTCTTTATCCATTCATTAGTCATGGACATTTGGGCCCTTTCCATAATTTGCCTATTGTTGATAATTACTGCTATAAGCATTGGGTGCATGTGCCCCCTTTGAATCAGTATTTTTGTATCTTTTGGGTAAATACCTAGTAGGGCAATTTCTGGGTTATAAGATATTTTGATTTTTAACTTTTTGAGGAGCCTTCATACTGTTTTCCAGAGTGACTGCACCAGTTTGCATTCCTACCAACAGTGTAAATGGTTCCCCTTTCTCCACATCCTCGCCAACATCTGTTGTTTCCTATGTTATTAGTTTCAGACATTCTGACAGGTGTGAGGTGGCATCTTATCCTGGTTTTGATTTGTATTTCCCTGATGATGAGTGATGTTGAGCATCTTTTCATGTGTGGGTTGGCCATCTGGATGTCTTTTTTGGAAAAATGCCTATTGTGTTGTCTGCCCATTTCTTATCTTGAATGTTGCTTTTTAGGTGTTGAGTTTGATGAGTTCTTTTCAGATTCCACATACCAACCCTTTATCAGATATGTCATTTGCAAATATCTTCTTTCATTCTATGTCCTGCCTTTTAGTTTTGTTGATTGTTTCCTTTACTGTGCAGAGCTTTTTATCTTGATGAAGTCCCAGTAGTTCATCTTTGCTTTTGTTTCCCTTGCCTCCAGAGACATGTCTAGTAAGAAGTTGCTAATAGCTGAGGTCAAAGAGGTTTCTGCCTGTGTTTTCTTCTAGGATTGATGGTTTCCTGTCTCACATTAGGTCTTTTATCCATTTTGAATTAATTTGTGTGTATGCTGTAAGGAAGTGGTACAATTTCAGTCTTCTCCATGTTAGCATTCCATTTTGATGTGAACTTGATATGTTGGTAGGTATGTCCACAGGTATTTGGAAAGTTAGGCTAAAGCAAGGGACAAAAGTCAAAGCTAAAGATAAAGAACTAAATCCCCTGATTGAAACTATGCAAAGAAAAGAGAATGCCAAGAGATGAAGTGTGGAAAGAGGAAGGGGAGGCCGCTAAGTGTAGATCCTTATGGTAGGGGATCCAGAGAAGGACATAGAGAGGAGAAGTAGGGCAATCTCAAAAGTGGTGTTGCTGAAGGCAAAATCTGGGGAGGGGATGGCCCACAGTGCCAGATGCCATTCTTCCCAAAGTCAAGAAGATTAAGAACAGTTAATAAGTCCACTCAATCACCGTTTAGTGATCCATTTGGTAATGGAGAATCTAGAATCAAGAAATATATGATTACCTTAATTTGGGGCCCAGAGTTTTTTCTTTCTTACCATACTATTTCCATATCAGTAAAACCTTTTTCAACTTTCTTTCAAATAAATAATCCATTAGGTTTTGTGATATGTGTAGAGGAAGGGAGGATTTGATTTGTCTAACTTTATGAGATTAATATTTCCATTTTACTCATTTATGCTATGCTCATCATATTTTGCTTCACTGTCACCTTGCTAAGGCCGAAAAGCTGCTTGAAGCAAAAGCTTACTTGAAGAAGCTTATTCAGGAAACAACTTGCTAAATTAATACAAGACTAGTTGAATCATTGATCTTGCAACCCCTGGATCTCCTTAAAGCCAGAACTCTAGTGATCCTCAGCTGCCCACTCACATGGCAGTACTTTAGGCTCAGTCATTACCTAGAACTTCCCTCATGAACCTCTGATCTTGACCACTCCCATCCTTATCCTGACATACCTGTTC